ACATGCTCCCTATGAAGCGTTTCCAAATGCCGTTTAAGTTTGTTGGCTTTCATGCTGTCTGCTGCTAAAATTTTTGAACAAATGACGCACAGGGGCCTTTCTTCTTCATTTACTTCAGTACAGATAAACCCAAAATTTAAGTATTCTTGAGAATGACGCGATGAAAATTGTGATTGGAAATTGGGTAGCAAATACTGAGAAACGCTGCCTTATTCCTATTTATTTCTTTATCTATCTATCTATCGTTCTGACCAGTATCATAACGAGTCTGGATTTCACAAGTTCACTATTTAATTCTCGAAAGGGGGTTTATAATTATCATTATACTTTAATTAGTACGTGGGAACTTAGAAATGTTGTTTGTTCAGAGAATGAATTTCAGGCACTTACCCTCTATTGCTTACGTAGAACGTAATCCAGTAGCTGGCTATACAGGGTGACACTGAAGTTGAGAGAAACAAAAGGAAACACCAAAACCTCCAGGAAGCGTTTTAATAACAATAAACAAAACAAACAAACAAAATAACAACACAACGGCTCGAACAACATTATTATACTCCGCGGTCAAAATTATAAAGAGTGACTAAGACATAATACAAAAACACTATTACCATAATGCGTATAAAATATAAAATGATTTTTATACGGTTCAATATTATTTATCTTTATCCACAACTATTGTATAATGTACCCATTATACGTCTGTTTGCTCGACCTTATTAATACCCATTAATCACGGCAGTGATTAATGAGTCATTAATCACTACTGTCAGATGCTTCCTTGATTTAGCTATAATATTATATTGTTCTGCTACAAACAGTCGGTTTTTTAAATTTTATCGTGTAAACCACTAAATATTTTCAATTCAGTACTGTACATATAAAAAAAAAATTAAAAAAGTGAATTTTCCTAGACCAGATTCGAACCCGGGACCAGCGGTTGGAAGGGAAGGAGCATCTACACTGAGCCATCAGCGACTTCGTTTGTGCGTGTCGTATATCTGTTGCTTAACATACCATGTTTTTCGAAACATTTCATAAACTTCACCTCGTGAATAATACCCATCATTATACGCTCGTTGAATAATATACTATTGTGCCGCTCGCTACGCACATCGATAGAATCTATAATCGTCTAGAGACCGAGTTACACTGAACGTCGATCTATATTCTATCTCTGTCTTTTGTACTTGGTAGGGAATAGGGAAATGCTTTTTTAGTGGGTGTAAACGGACTTAATTTAACCCGTCCTGTGAAACGTCATAGCATAAGCGTAGACGAGGGGTCTAATTCCATGGCTATAATAAATTTATAAATTAAAAAAACACGATTGGGACGTTTTAAAATGCTGTAATAATTAAAATGGATCAAAGTGCCTGTTATAGCAAACCGTAAAAAATATTAGATGTTATGTTTTATTATCCTTTTTCATTATTTTCTATATCTTGTTGCCTTTTACGCAGACACGCCAATGGATTTTCGTTCCCGGCACGCTTCATCCCTCTTACTAGTCCAAAAGCTAGCGATGAATCACTCTCTATAATTTCGACCGTGGAGTATAATTAATTTATTTACACGCGACAGCGTACCGAGATTCAGGGAATGCGCGCTCCATAGCAAAAATTTGGAAAGACTGTCCATTATTAAATTTAGTTAACTAGCCCAAGGCTCTAAAACTAAGTCGACTGCTCAATGCGGAACATAAGGAAGAACTGCCTTCTTTTGAGATCTCTCCTGAATTCGACACTTCGCTTCGATACGCCCATTTCTTGGGTCCAGAAGTTTTTGTTTTTATCTTATTGGCGGGAACCCTGAATGTCGGGATGCTTTGGCATAGCCATGCCATGTTAATAGTTATCTAAGTAATTTTGAAACTAAACTTACAAATAACCCTAGCCTTCGTCTAGTGACTTCGCGTAGCAGTACGGGACGGATTAGTCAACCTTATTTACTCTATCCTTATAGCTTGGAAAACCCGTCAAAAAACCAGCTATTTCTTTTCCTCACAACATTCTAACAACTTATTCTTGGAATTCCTACGTTCTTTGGAATGTATTTCGCGCGTTATTTGAAATATTGAGTTTTCTCTTTATACTAGATGTTCAACACATGGCCCCGAGTGAACTTGTTAAAAAATATTGCTAAATTTCTTCGAAGGACGACGCTACCTACTTGAAAGCCATTAACATTCCGATAAATTAGTGTCGACTGAAATATTTTACTTTTTGGCCCATCCGTGCCGAGAACTAATAAATAAAGTACTACACGTCCCGGCTTTTGTTACAATTTTAAGCCGCTAAATTCGAATCCGATGTCAGAATTGCCCCAGCGAATCACCATAATTTTCTAACCTCAAAAAATGCTTAAAAATCGACAAATCAGCGTTTAAAATCCAGGTATGATTTATCAGCGGCTGAAACTAATGGTCAGATCTTTATATTATCATGTTTATTGACCCGCTGCATACGAATCCAAAGTCAGATTTGACCCCATAATGTCCCAGATCCTTCCTAATCTTAAAAAAGCTTAAAAACCCGCAAAACTAATAAATTAACTTCTATGATTCAGGTTTAACAGCGACCGAAAATCGTGGTTTAACCTATCTATTCCCGTCCATTTAACCCGCTGAATCCGAATCCGATGTCAGAATTGCCCTAACAGATTACCAGAATTTCCTAACTTGAAAAAATAGCTTAAAATCGCTAGTCCTGCATTTTAGAATGATAAGAATTACACATCCATACAAAAAATGGTGGATGATAGAGCAATTCTAGCACTGGATTCAGCGGATCAAAGTACACAAAGATACATCATAGGTCTAGTCTTTGGAAGAGACCATTTTTTTTTGTGGGTCTCTGTAATCTTTATCATTCTAAAATTCGAGAATATAAGCGATTTTAAGCTATTTTTTCAGGTTAATAAATTCTGGTGGTTTACTGGGGCAATTCTGACATCGGATTTGGATTCAGCTGGTCAAAATACACGGGAATACGTAGGTCAGACCACGATTTTCAGTCATTGTTAAGTCATACCTGAATCATAGAAGCTAATTTATACATTTTGTGAGTTTTTAAGCTTATTTAAGGTTAGTAAGGATTTGTGACCTTATGGGCCAAATCAACGGGTATACATGAGAATATAAAGATCTGACCATTAGTTTCAGCCGCTGATAAATCATACCTGGATTTTAAATGCTGATTTGCCGATTCTGAGGGTTTTTGAGGGTGCAAGCATTTGAATTAGCTTAATACCTTAACAAAGAGTAGAAAAATGTGTGAACTAATAATAAAATAAATGTATTTATGTAGATAACATACTCAGATACAAAAAAAATTAAGCAGAATATTTTTTTATTTAAAAGTTTTATGATACATCATATTTCGACATATTGATATATGAAACCACAGACAATATAGCTTATCGCTTCAGACCGCACGCTAAATGCTGGAAAGTGGCAATATAAAAATGATACAGGGTCTTGTTAGTCGGCATCCAACAATAAAATTTTGCATAGTAACTCTTCTACTCGGTAATAGGAGGCAGTTCTAGCGGTGGCTTTGTTAAAAATAGATAAATTTAATGCATTTCAACATATGGACTTCGGACCTTTTGCATTGAATGCAGAACGGACAATCAGAACCAGGGGTGTAGTGAGATTTTTTAATTATTTTTTCAATTCAACTCAACGTTTCCGAGTTATAAGACCTTATTTACTGTATCATCTCACACCCTCTTGAATCCTAAATTTATTTTCGACATACGGACTTCGTACCTTTTGTATTCAAGGCAGAACAGACAATCAGAATCAGTGTAGGGGAGATTTTGTAAATCATTTTTTCGATTAACGCACCGTTTCCGAGTTATAACCACCGTTGGTCCCGTATTTTTTTTCGACAATCAGACAAAAATGACAGGAATGAACTTTCCTTTTTAATTTAAAAAAATTTAATGATGAAAAATAAAACATAAACTGTATTATTCAAATAACAATAAAGTTCTTCAGGAACATCGGCAAATTTGGAGGAAGACTCCCGCCAACGAACACAAAAAAAAATATTATTAGAAACCTTAGGTGGCCAGAAGACAGCCCCGATCTCAGTCCCTTAGACATATTTTTGTGGGGACACTTCAACAAAATATATTATTAATGACCTCAAAATTTACAGATATAATAAGAAAAATACCGGACGAAATGTAAATTAAAGCATATTTTCAACGGCATCATCATAATTACTTGCATGTGGAAAATTTGTAAAAATTGGTAGGTATTTTAATGTTATTTAGTTAAGCAAATTTTGATAATGTCAAACGAAATAAAGGAAAACTCGTATATTTGTATTTAAAGTTTCTTTCTATCTTTAGTTATTATTAAACAAGTGGGTGTCAAAATACAAAAAAAAAACTGTACCTACAGTCCGTACTAATAACCCACCTTGTATATTAAATAAATTTATCATCATCATCAAATATTAAAAATATATATATTAGTATATTAAAATACCATTACGAATTTTGTTTATTTGGAAATATATTTTCAATACCAAAAAATTAAAATAGTAGTATTAACGAAATTATGATAACCTAACCATGATAACGCTGCAGAATATCATCTGAAACTACATAGCTATTCCTTGATTCTCTAAAACATTTTTATCAATACCTACATCATACATTTAAATAAAACAGTAACGCAAAAAATAGGCATTGATTAAAAAGTGTAGAAAATAAATCCGTAAGTACGCCTGACAACATTGCCAAACTATTGTTTATATAGTTTATAGGATACGCGTAGGAATGCGGGCCGCTGCATTTGATTCTTCCTACAATTCTGCTGCTGGTATGCTCTATCGGCAATTCAGAAATTTAAAACTGCTGTCCTATACCAGTAGCGGTCTATAGCGAAGCTATTTTCTCTATGCTGATACTTTAATAAATTCGAGTATAAAAACTACAAAAGATTATTTTTAATTTTTTTAAAATAAGTTTGATATGAAACTTACCTCAACCGAACTTTCCGGTTCATCTTTATTTTTGTTTGCTGAAAAAAGAAACAAATAATAAAATATAAAATTAAATATATTCTCTAAAATTAATAAAAAGTTTTAGTGATAAGGAAATTGTTGTATTAACTTCATATATAACATATTGTTCAATATTTTGTAAAATAGTCATATCTTGATAATAATATTTTATCCCTATTTAAAATTTGGAAGATCTAATTATGGATATCTTTTATACGGTTTTAAAATAATTAATATTTTTTATTTTATTGGATATGTGTTGATTTTGAAATGCAAAACTGATTTGCTAATTTCTAAAGGATGTTCAATAACTAATCGATCAAACGTCAACAACAGAATCTACGGAAAAAATTAAAGTAGTATTTTTAAGTTTTGCTGAAAAATTGTTTGAATTCGAAATGAAGGGGGTTGAAGCTATAAAACCTAATACTGATTGACATGGAGAGTACTAACTTGAACATGGCACAATTTCATGTAAATACAAAAACCCAATGGCATACAAGCCTTATCAACAGGATTGTTTTATAAAAATGAACGTTACACTATTAGGTACAACAGAAACAATTAAAATTAAACATTTTATAATTATAAAAAGTTTATTGACTGCAAGTCACCAAAATGCATAGTCACTGAGAAAATCGGATTTCGATTTCCTTTTGCGATAAGCCGCTCATAGTCGAGTATTTGGGGGGTTTTGTAAGTAAATTAAATATTTATTGAGCCGACTTACAAATAAAACGAGATACTTTGTGGCGAAAGGATTCCAGATAAAAAAAATAGAAGAGTTACTTTTTCTTTGCAACTGAATGGATTGTGATATGATATCAAATTTATTATTATACAGGGTTATATAACTTTCTTTGCCATATTTATAATATTAGTTACCCATATTTCCACCTATTCCAAAAGCTTGATCATTCAATATGAATAATTGTTGTAGTTCATATAATGCAATAAGTTTGGTTAACATATCTCTTCTACTTTCAGAGATATAAAATTTTCCGTTTTATTTAATTTTTTTCTGGATACTTTAACACCATACATCTCTTGATACTTCATGTTCACCTCAAACGTTTTGTTGAACTTTATGTATATACGTACTAGTGAACTTTATGTATATACGTACTAGTGAGTATATAAAAAAATTGTATATTATGTTTATAAAATACTGATTATATCTATTTATCCCATGCTGTATAAATTCCAGTCTTATTGCTTCTCAACATTCAGATTCATTTTCCCTCCTCTGTATAAATTGAATATTATCTACATATTTTAGAAAGAAACTGGTTTAATATATCAAGTAATGAAAATAATTTTCCATCACGCAAGGTCGACATTATCAAATCTTTACAAAATTTCTCCTTTGAAACAGTTTTAAGCATTCTGCAATATGCATCGTAAATTGCCTAATTTGAATTTTAATTTACAACAGCCTGTGAGAAAAACGACGAACAGAGAGGTTTTTAATTTAACTCGGGCGAAAAAAATAACTTTGCATTTCAAATGGCGAGCTGAAGGGGAAACATAAATAAGAAAAAATACTAATTGCTACTCTTCAACTCAGAAGATAAATGCGATCGTTGCTCTTCCTGATTACCACCTGACTGAAAATTCAGAACTAAAATATTGTTTTAATAATTAACATTTCTCTGTATACCACATGCTATTCATACTGAATTTAACTTTGGGCGTGTTTTACTTTATCTTAATAGTTTACCTATCATAACATATTATAAAACAAAGTCCTCCGCCGCGTCTGTCTGTCTGTCTGTCTGTCTGTCTGTCTGTTCGCGATAAACTCAAAAACTACTGCACCGATTTTCATGCTGTTTTCACCAATGGATAGGAAGGTTTTAGTATATAATTTGTTAAGTTTTTGTATACATTAACGATATTTGTTGGAGGTGTCGTGGGAGCTTTCAACGAAAACGCTGCCCAAACCCTTTGAGATCTAACAAAATAATGTATGGTGGAATTGTGTATCTTATGTAGGTCTACAGAAAAGTACTGTAATACTTTAAAAAATGGCCCTGTGACCCTGCGCCTCGCGTCCGAGCAGGGTGGAGTCCGAAAGTTTATGTAGTGTATCCATGTATGGTGGAATTGTGTATCTTATATATGCCTACAGAAAATTCCGCGATGGCATATGTCTATATGTTAAAGATAACATACTACCTATATCCATTTTAATACTTTAAAAAATTGGCAATTATAAAGCGGTAATGTAAAAGCTATTTACACAAATACGGTATTAATCCTTATCATTTTAAATAAGTTAGAAGCTTTAAGCATTGCATGTACATTATTTTACTCCTTTACACCATATAATTTAAATGAATATGTTAGGAGTAATCGCAAAAAAAATTACGGACGCGAGAATAAAATTCAAGCGCCTCGCTTCGCTTGATGCGATCGCCGACCCTCCTCCCGCACCGTCTTGCCTACTGTTTAGCTAATAAGCCGAACGATAACGCGCGCGTGATCCTTTAATAAACTGACTTGGAGCGAATGGAAGTGACGACTGACGACTATGTTTTCTTTCTGGGTGTTGTTGGAAAGTTATAATTGCGTTCGATATTTTAAGGTCACATTTTTGTTTTGATTTGTTGTCTTTAAGTAGTCGGAACATATATAGATACTTGCAAACGTACTTTGATTTCACTGAGTTATAATCATTTGTTTGTTTTTTTCTTATTGTGAATCATTTAAAACTTCATAGTTGCATTTTTGTTTCGTGTTTGTTTTCTTTAGGTAGTTAGATACCTAACTACTTATTAATTAAAATTGATTGCCCTGAAAATAGGTACTTTAATTTAATTCGTTTTGTTTTCACATTGTTGGTAGTTACCTATATTGTTTTAAATTTAAAGGTTTTGCATTTTTAGTTTTGAGTTGAAAATTAACCGAAAGCTACATCTCCTCGGAGTAACATAGGCTATTTTATATTTGCCCGTGCGAAGCGGGGGTGGGTTGCTAGTATTCTATAAATAAAGAAATATTTATATTCAGGGTGTTAGAAGTTTGACTTCCTTAATTTTAACAGACGATAGAATACAAACAAAATAAACAAAAAAACCTTATATGACATAGGTCTTAAACTCAACCTTTCCGAGAATGAAATGATCAAAATCTCCAATTTTCGACTAATTAACATAACTGCGTGCACAGAATACCATAGCATACAACTTTTATCACTTTTTTGAACTTCTTTATGCTTAATTCTAAAAAATAATTAGCGTTGTAATAAATTTAAAATTCGATAAAATTAATATCGAGCTGTGATAACGGAGCGGCGGATAACACGAGGTATTAAGCTGTCCAGCAATACGCAATTCAGTTGGTGTTGGTATCTGGAATTGGACTGTGTTGGAGTATTTTTTGCGTACCACTATTTTCTTTTCGTGGGGTGTTTTTCAGCGAATATTGAAATTATATAGAATTTGCCAATTAACAGTCATACATAAACGATTGTAATCTCTAACCGTGATGAATTTAGGATCAAATTTAGTTTTACTAATTTTAATTTACAAGCAACAAGGCAATGATCAGAATTGTTAGTTATGATATAATCAAAGAGAGTACTAGAAATGTTTGATCATATTTTTCTGTTTGAAAATAGAAAGAAAATAGTCATTGCGTTTTAGATTAAATGTGTATTAAATATTCATTTTAAAGATATATAATTTTTTTCAAATGTAAACTTCCATTTTCTAACATAATTTTGTATCAGGAAGGAAAACAACTTCCGTTTAAAGAATTTCATAGAAATTTACAGACAAAATACGTATAGTTGTAGTAGTTCTATCTTGTTATATGTAAATTAGTAATTATTAATTTTAACTTAATTTAATTTTAATGTTAAAAATGGAAGAAATAAAAAAATTTTCAAAATGGGTTTATTGTTTGTCATAAAATAGCAATCTTTCAGAAATTATAAGTTTACATTTGAATTGTCCCTGAAAATATCAATAGAACTAAAAACTACTTTATTCAAAGACAACTTTTATTCGCAACATTTCTTCCTAAATGTAACTAAAAGCTTTGTCAACTTAAATAATTTGCTCAATGAAAAGTATTTAATTCATTTTTGTCCACTCCAGAAGAATACAGTTTTTTATATTTGCAAGAATGTTACCTGTTCAAGGAAAACCTGAAGAATATTATCTATAGCTCATGGAAATTATATTTTCCTGAAATATCAAACTTCTCCCGTCCATCACTTGCATATCAGAAATATTTACGACTGGTATAAAACATTAATTAAATCTTAGATATTAAATTCTGAACGATGGTAGAACTTTTACAAAAGTTTATTGAAAACTCGTTAAAATAAATCGCCCAATAAAACTTTCTCATTAACTAAACGTAGGCTTAATTTCTTGTGTACACGGGAAGCTCCTTCAATTATGTTGATGAATGGAGAAAACATTTCATAGATGGCGCAAGAACTTTTATTCTAAATTGAAAACAATGGAGCCACTCTTGGCCGCGCTAAGTAAAAGTTTTATAGCCCAGCAATTCACTTGAGGGCTTCTAGGAAGTCCCTTATTAGCGTAAATTAATGACCGCTTTCCTATTTTGTGTATGTGTATAAATTTTCATTATTAGACTTTCTACAATGTGGATGCTCATGTGTTTCCATCCGAAAGCTGAGTGAGTAAAATTGTTTGCGAACATTTTGTCCACCGACTCATAAACACTTTTAGAGACGTTTGTTTTGATGAATCAAGTCAAGTGTTTCTTCTTCTCGCTATCTTAACAGTTGTGAACTATTGGCAGCAACTGTAATACGTGTAACTAAATCAGCAATAGTTTTCCCCGTAAAAAAGTTAAAATTAAGATATCTGAATTTTGCAAATTGCTTTTGGTTTCTGCATATTTACACTATGTGTGTACCAAATTTCAAGTGTCAGCAAAGCTTCGAACAAATTTCAAGTTTCAGATGCCGATGAATGCATAACACCTTATAGAACAAAAAGTTTTGCTATCCAGATTTTCGGCTTTAGCGTCATTA